TGGCCTTGAAACAAGAAACGTGAGGTAGTCAGTCCGACATCATAGCCTCGAAACAAGAATCTTGAGCCAGTCGGTTTGACGTCATAGCGTCGATACAAAAATCTTGAGGTATTCAGTCCAACGTTATAGCTTCGAAACAAGTCACAGACACACAGGCATACAGACACAGAAACACACAGACACAGAGACACACAGGCATACACACACAGAGACACACAGGCATACACACACAGAGACACACAGGCATACAGACACGCATGCATACAGACACACCAATGCGCGAATGGACAAAAAAGATAGACTTTCGCGTTCGCTGATTACAATCCCAATCAAAACTGATTTTATATTGCACCCATTTGTTTATTGTTTCAACAATTTTTAATGTGTATTAATTTTTTTTCAGTGGAACACTTGAAGTGGTTTCGCGGATCACGAATTTGAGAACCACTGTCTTTGATAAGGGATTGCATTAATTGACATCTTCCAGCACCCAGCTCTGAAATTAATTATACATGTTACAAATGCATGAAATAGACTCATGTCAGAAATCAAATTAGTGCAATATTCGATTGGTGTTCTTGGCCAGTGGATCCTTCACCCCAATGCAATGAACCCCAGATGTGATTCAATGATTTTTTATTTTTTATTATTTTTATTATTTTATTTTATTTTATTTTTTGTGAGCTGAGTGCCAGATTAATATTCTGTTTTATCTCACAGAATACTTCCTTTTTTTTCTTGGACAGGTTTGACTCTGTCCTACACATCTTGACCAGGTGCAGGCATGTGGGACACTCTATGACGGACCGTTCTCATGCCTTTTTGTAAAGTAAATAAATAGTGGAACAAGATATGATTAGGCTTGAAAAGAAAATACAAGAAAATCCAGGAGTCTCTCAGCGGTTTGAGAATCCCTGATACTGATCTAGATAGTGGGGGGTCACTAAACCACACCGCCACATCGGTGACAACGAGGGCGTGGACAGTTCGTTTAGACGGGTTGGTGTCACGTGGTGTCCGAATGGAAACTAACGTCGGGAGACGAGGCGTGGTCGAGCTGTACAGCGGGGGCGTGCCGGAGATGAGGGACATTGTGACCGCGAAGATAACACAACTGGAGTCACTGGTAAGTTTGACGGAATGGACACATGGTAAATTTGACAGAATGGACAAATGGTAAGTTTGACAGAATGGACACATGGTAAATTTGACAGAATGGACAAATGGTAAGTTTGACAGAATGGACACATGGTATAAGTGACAGAATGGACAAATGATAAGTTTGACAGAATGGACACGGTAAAATTGGCAGAATGGAGACATGGTAAAATTGACAGAATTGACTTATGGTACGTTTAACAGAATGGACACAAGGGAAGTTTGACCGAATGGACTCATGGTAAGTTTGACAGAATGGACACATGGTAGAATTGACTGAATGGATAAATGGTAAAATTGACAGAATGGACACCTGGTAAATTTGACAGCATGGGCACATGGTAAATATGACTGAATGGACTTATGGTAGTTTGACAGAATGGACACATGGTAAAATGGACAGAATTGACACATGGTAAAATGGACAGAATGGACTTATGGTACGTTTAACAGATGGACACATGGTAAGTTTTGCCGAATGGACACATGGTCAAATTCACAGAATGGACACATGGTAAGTTTGACAGAATGGACACATGGTCAAGTTGACAGAATGGACACGTGGCAAGTTCTATAGACTTGAGACTTAGAAACTTGTGACAGAATGGACACGTGGCAAGTTCTATAGACTTGAGACTTAGAAACTTGTGACAGAATGGACACGTGGCAAGTTCTATAGACTTGAGATTTAGAAACTTGTGACAGAATGGACACATGGTCAAGTTGACAGAATGGACACGTGGCAAGTTCTATAGACTTGAGACTTAGAAACTTGTGACAGAATGGACACATGGTCAAGTTGACAGAATGGACACGTGGCAAGTTCTATAGACTTGAGACTTAGAAACTTGTGACAGAATGGACACATGGTCAAGTTGACAGAATGGACACGTGGCAAGTTCTATAGACTTGAGACTTAGAAACTTGTGACAGAATGGACACATGGTCAAGTTGACAGAATGGACACGTGGCAAGTTCTATAGACTTGAGACTTAGAAACTTGTGACAGAATGGACACATGGTCAAGTTGACAGAATGGACACGTGGCAAGTTCTATAGACTTGAGACTTAGAAACTTGTGACAGAATGGACACATGGTCAAGTTGACAGAATGGACACGTGGCAAGTTCTATAGACTTGAGACTTAGAAACTTGTGACAGAATGGACACATGGTCAAGTTGACAGAATGGACACGTGGCAAGTTCTATAGACTTGAGACTTAGAAACTTGTGACAGAATGGACACATGGTCAAGTTGACAGAATGGACACGTGGCAAGTTCTATAGACTTGAGACTTAGAAACTTGTGACAGAATGGACACATGGTCAAGTTGACAGAATGGACACGTGGCAAGTTCTATAGACTTGAGACTTAGAAACTTGTGACAGAATGGGTGGATGGCAAGTTTCGCAGAATGGTGTCAAAAAACTTTCATATTGCCAGAGTTATGTAACTTAAATGTAACATCTCTAGAACTCATGTTGCTAAAGTAGCACCACGTGTGTCAGGCGTGTCACGTGTGCCAGGCGTGTCAAATGTTTCAGGCGTGTCACGTGTGTCAGGCGTGTCACGTGTTCCAGGCGTGTCACATGTTTCAGCCGTGTCACGTGTGCCAGGCGTGTCAAATGTTTCAGGCGTGTCACGTGTGCCAGGCGTGTCAAATGTTTCAGGCGTGTCACGTGTGTCAGGCGTGTCACGTGTTCCAGGCGTGTCACATGTTTCAGGCGTGTCACGTGTGTTAGGCGTGTTACATGTTTCAGCCGTGTCACGTGTGTCAGGCGTGTTACATGTTTATCTCCACTTCCAGGGCCGGGATGACGCCTTCTTCATCGTGGATCTCAGCACGATCTACAGTAGACTGTTGGACTGGTGGCGGCTGTTACCTCGAGTGCAACCATTTTATGGTAGGTACGAGTGCAACCATTTTATGTTCAGTTTCGTCTTAAAGCATTAGGAACGCTGGGCAGTAGCGTGACAATTTTCCTGAAAATCTGTCCTAAAAATTATTACTAACAATCAGTTCTAACATTCAGTCCGAACATTCAGTCCTAACATTCTCCCCCGGGGCTCTTGTCGTCATGTCGATCAATGACATGTTTGATAAAGAGGCGCTCGCCACGAACCCCCTGAAGCGTTACCCGGGGAACAGTACCACCGTGTAGGGGACCCGCGCTGAAAGGCAAAGGTAACGCACGGAGACTGCGTTAATTCGAGCACGATTGCATGGCTTCCCACCAAGTGCAGTCGAACTATTTTACTAAACGCAGAAACAGGTTGGGACATGATTACAGTTGCCGTATGGATATGAGGTGAAGGTGTGTGGCAACCTTTCACCGGTGATTTTAAATATGCAGTCTTGAGGGTACTGCTCCAAGGCAACCTCTCTCTCCCATCTACGGTGTGAATTAGTCGCACCGTAGAATAACCATACAAACCCTAGTAGAGGGCGTCGGTCTTAAACAACTACGCGGTCCCCCCGGGGTGGTAAGGGGGGACTTTAGAGACGTTAAATATCCACCCCAACCCCTTAGAAAGTCCGGCCCTGTTGCTGCGTGAGCAGCAATCCGGCTGGCCAGGTGTTTCTTCTCTGGGGCTGCCACACTCAGCGGCCAATCGAGTGGAGGTCGAGTGTGGCGGTCTTAGGGGCGGAGCGTCCCTGGCGTGCCGCTTCGCGGCCCGATCGGAATAAAGACCACTGGGGGAGTGGTTGACGGCCGGTTTGGTTGGCGGGGTGGTGCGTTGGGGAGGACCATATGAGCCTCAAAGGCTCGGTGTTCGCTGATTTTCTTAAGTTAGTTAGTTAGTTAGTCCTAACATTCAGTCCAAACAATCAGTCCTAGCAATCAGTCCTAGCAATCAGTCCTAGCAATCAGTCCTAGCAATCAGTCCTAGCAATCAGTCCTAGCAATCAGTCCTAGCAATCAGTCCTAGCAATCAGTCCTAGCAATCAGTCCTAACGCTTTGGTTGTGGAGTGGGGGAAGGGGTGGGGGGCATTTTGAATATCCTACTGGGATCGATGGATGGTAAATGACAAAGGGTATCAAACGCTACCTTCTTTAAATCATACGTTTAGTTTTCCGCCCAGGTCAAGAAGTCAGTCAATTTAAACAGGATTTTGTAAGCATTTTTTTGTGTGCGTTGCATCTTCTTGTGTCGATAATTTACTTATCAAGGTATCATAGTCAAGAGCACAAAAAATATAATTTTAATTCGAAATCAAACATAAACTTGTAAATGAGGGTTCGATTACCATCTCTACTCGTATCCGAAAATTGGTTTGAAAGAAATTTCGTCGACGGAAAATGGATCAACGGAAATTTGAAAGAATATTTCTCTTTTTTTTTCAGTTCACACGTTAAAAATTTGCGTCAAATTTCTTATTGAACGCATTATTTTGTTTGACTCTATAGGCTAGTAGAATGCGTTCAAAAATAGATTCGACGAAAATTTTAACGTGTGATCTGAAAAAAAAAAGATTCGACCAAATTTCCGTTGGATCAAATTTCCGTCGATTAATTTTCTGTCGGTGAAATTTCTTTCAAACAAATTTCCGGTAACCATCTCTACGTCCAGCCCTTCTGTGGAGGCTTTCTTTGCGTTATGCAGTTTAGAGCGTTTCAACTCGTCTTTTCAAGAAAGTGTTTAAATGTTTTCTTTTCTTCCTTGCTCGCCAACAAACCATTGCAACAATCATCTCTTGCATTATACCTTACACACCTTACATACCTTACACACCTTACATACCTTTTGCTTTGTATGTTATACTTGTGCTGATGGAAGGACGAACATTTTAGAAATATGCACACTAATGACGAGTACTGTTATGTTCAATATTTTATTTTCACAGCTATAAAATGCAACAATGATCCGGAAGTGGCCAGGTTTTTGGCAGACGCTGGTATCGGCTTTGACTGTGCCAGTAAAGTAAGTCAGGACACTAAGACTTGTCTTTTAAAATTTGAGTTATCCATGCATGGATATCAGCGCCGTGTTTCTGTAACCTGTTATTGCGCGTGACCCAGTTTAAAATGGATTTACACAAAACTGCTCTTTCATTCACATTTTTTTTCTTTTTCTTGCCTCCCACGCAATATGCCTTGGCCCCCCGGGGGGCCATGTATCCCAGGTTGAGAACCACAGTATTGGAAAATATGAGCCGTGGCAAAGTGTTTAATCCTCAATAGAAGGCAACAACTGTGTCACGTGATAAGCGCTGAGCACCAGGGACTAAAATGCCAGCAGTGCTCAACTTGTACCTGGTACTAAATTGCTAGTATTGGCAACGTCAGTGGCAATGAAAAAAAAATGACTTTCTTGCGAAAACCGGGGCTGCCCTGCCTCGGCCAGATGTACCAGTAGCTTACTTGGGAATCAAAAACTGGCTGGCAGACCATTTCAAAACGAAATAATACAGGCAATGGGCAGACAACGCGACCGCCAGAGGTGTCTTCGTTAACTTGCGCACTGCTAGCAGACAAGATGCGCACGGAGCACTGCCTCATGGGCACACACTTCTGGAGGCTAGATAACAACAGGGACCCTACCTGCCGCATTGCATCCTGGTCCCGGAAACACTAGCGCACCTGTTGACCGAATGTCCCTCAATAGATGTTCCGGGGGAAGCCAGAGCGGTGGGAGAGCCCTACATGGGGAAAATGTTGTATTGTCCAGCTCAGAAGATGGAGCTTGTAGCCAATGTACTAGCTGGGGTCTTAAGAGGGTGATCTGAAACCATCACTAGAATATATGTGTTAGATAGTACCTGGTACAAGGTGACCGATGGGAGAATTTTAGTATGATGGAGCCAGAGATGCGAGCCAAGCGAACGTTTTGTGGCACCAAGGGTTCTGCACGATGCTTCAATGTGTTAGGAATGCGTTGTCTATGACGAAAGTCAAATTCCCTTGCTGGTTGATCATTAGTCCCTCTCCGGTCATTAGTCCCCTCCGGTTCATTAGTCCCCTCCGGTCATTAGTCCCCCTCCGGTTCATTAGTCCCCCTCCGGGTACCTTTTCAGAACTTCGGAAGTTCGTAATAAAATACAGTATTTTAATTGGTGCCATGCCCTTTCCCTTATGTGTCGTTTAAATTTAAGAGACGTATCGATAAGTTTTCATAATACTTCCAATTGTTGTATCTAATCCCAACAGAGAGAGATTGCCCAGGTGCTGGACCTTGGTGTGGAACCATCTCGCATTGTGTTCGCCCACCCCTGCAAGCAGAGCTCTCATGTCCAGTACGCTGCTCAGAACAATGTTGACCTCATGACCTTTGATGACCTCCATGAGCTTGTGAAGATTAAAAAATATTATCCACGTGCCAGGTAGGACGCAGTCTTTTCAAAGATACAGTTGATACAAAAAAAATTTACCGGGATTTCTAAACTATTCAAGCGCTGATTCCTTGTCATAGCACTGATTCATTGTCATAGCACTCATTCATTGTCATAGCACTCATTCATTGTCATAGCACTCATTCATTGTCATAGCACTGATTCATTGTCATAGCACTCATTCATTGTCATAGCACTGATTCATTGTCATAGCACTGATGCATTGTCATAGCACTCATTCATTGCCATAGCACTCATTCATTGTCATAGCACTCATTCATTGTCATAGCACTCATTCATTGTCATAGCACTGATTCATTGTCATAGCACTCATTCATTGTCATAGCACTGATTCATTGTCATAGCACTGATGCATTGTCATAGCACTCATTCATTGCCATAGCACTGATTCATTGTCATATCACTCATTCATTGCCATAGCACTCATTCATTGCCATAGCACTCATTCAATGTCATAGCACTCATTCATTGCCATAGCACTCATTCATTGTCATAACACTGATTCATTGTCATAGCACTGATTCATTGTCATAGCACTCATTCATTGTCATAGCACTGATTCATTGTCATAGCACAGATTGATTGTGATGAACTTTACGGTTAACAAAATAGAGATTTAAAACTGTATGACCCTTAATAAATTATGTGTCTTCTTTGTTCAAGTTCTATCATTGGAACCTGTATGAAATTTAAAGCCTCATTTACCTCCTTTCCTCATCCCTATGACCAGTGGCGTGACTATGAAGTTACTAAGGGGGCACGGCCCCGTTGGTTTTGGTTTTTCGTTGTTGTTTTTTTGTTGTTGTTTTTTTTTGTTTTTTGTTTTGGGTGTGGGGGGTGGTATGTAACCTTTTATAAATGGTGTGTGTTTTTGTGAGTGTGTTAGGTGCGCTTTTTTTATGAGTTCTCCCCGAACGGCATCTAGTCAAGGTACGCCACTGTCTGTGACATCCACACCTTATCCACTCCGTGTGTCCTCAGGCTCCTGCTCCGGATAAAGTCCAGTAGAGAACACAAGGCCAAGCACAGTTTCAACACAAAGTTTGGCTGTGACCCGGAAGCAGCCCTGCAGCTGTTCAAACATGCGCAGAACATTGGGCTCAGTGTTGTAGGAATAAGGTGAGTCTGGGCTTCCGCTGTGCTCCACGCTACACGTGTTCCTAGGTTATGACGTGTGCTTGGTGCGTGTGTAGACGTTCAGGCGTATCAGAGGTCGAGCAGGAGAAGGTAAGCCTGGGTCCTCTGGTGTCAGGAGAGGGGCGCCACCTACTGACATGTCAGTGTTACCTTCTTTTTCTTCTTCTTCTTCGTCTATATATAAAGGGCCCACGATCAATTTATTGATCATTTTGGCTCCTATGCATGTAGAGGGGATTTGCAATGTTTCTGTGCCTGGTGCTGATGAGGATATTTCAATGATTACTAGTGCTACTTTGTGAAGGAATCATCCAATGGGGGTTGGAAGGCTTGAGGCAATAGACGCAAATGTGTCTAGAGTTGTCGCCTCAACTGTTTCTTTTAAAAGCTTGTTCCAGCCCCCGATTGTCTTGGGCAGGAATGAACAATTCCTATACTGGCTTCTTGCTGGTATGAGCCGGAATTGCCTGTCATGGCCTCGTCGTGTGTATTCTGCCATCATGACAATTGGGGCTGTTCTTAAAGTAGGTCCCACTAATTTTAACATTCTGTTGCACCTCCCCACTGTCACAATCTGACAGAAAACTTGGATCCCACCCCCAAAGTACGTTACACTTCAAAGATAAAATAAAAATATTTTTTAAATGAACAACTAACTAAAATTCAATCTAAAACACACTTCAGTATTTAAATTACACACACCTAATTGGTATATTTTTCTCCAGAATACACGCGGGACAACTGAAAGTTTAGCATCACTGTCCATTTCAGCTTGTATATGCATGATAAAAAAATATATAAATGTATGACGTCATGTATGATGTAGACCTCCCTCCTCCCACCATGTCTCACAAACTGTCAGACATTCTTAGACCCACCACCACCCCCTCAACCTCACGTCGCGATACTTACTTTATGATCGTCACCTGTTTAGAATGTGTCTTCAACCTGGAATTTTCCTGAAAGATGGTTGTTGTTTCTTTTTTAAATATTGCTTTTAATACAAAAATGTTGAGAACCCCTGTGGATGTATTTCAGGGTATCAGACTTGAACGCCTTGTCTCTTCATGTCTCTAGTTTTCACGTGGGCAGTCTCCCCGAGGTCGTTTCCAGTTTCGCCGCCAGCATCGCCGAGGCAAGTCGAGTGTTTAAGGTCGGAGAGGATATGGGTTTGAGCATGTCGGTATTGGATATCGGAGGGGGATTTCCTGGCGTTGATTCGGACAACATGACATTCGAAAAGGTATGTTTCTGTATTTTTTTATTTTTAAAAATGTAATTTAAATGACGTCATTGCTATGTTTGACATTAATTATTCAAAGACATATTTGAGACGCGGCATCCAACATTCAAATTGTTGTACTGTATCCAACATCCAAGACACAAAGACATATTTGTGGCGAGTTATCCAGCACCCATTTGTTGCACAGTATCCAACATCCAAGACACAAAGACATATTTGTGGCGAGTTATCCAGCACCCATTTGTTACACAGTATCCAACATCCAAGACACAAAGACATATTTGTGGCGAGTTATCCAGCACCCATTTGTTGCACAGTATCCAACATCCAAGACACAAAGACATATTTGTGGCGAGTTATCCAGCACCCATTTGTTACACAGTATCCAACATCCAAGACACAAAGACATATTTGTGGCGAGTTATCCAGCACCCATTTGTTGCACAGTATCCAACATCCAAGACACAAAGACATATTTGTGGCGAGTTATCCAGCACCCATTTGTTGCACAGTATCCAACATCAAAGACACAAAGACATATTTGTGGCGAGGTATCCAGCACCCATTTGTTACACAGTATCCAACATCCAAGACACAAACACACAGCCATCTATCCTAACTCTCGCCCGTCTTATTTCAGGTCGCTGATGTCGTGAACTGCGCCCTAGATGAACATTTCCCCGTGTCCAGGAATGTGAGAATCATCGCTGAGCCAGGTCGTTACATGGTGACCTCAGGGTTCACGTTGACCGTCAGCATCATCGCAAAGAAAACGGTTGAACGGCGGGTCACCGATACAGGTAATCATTACCAGCCCCCCCCCCACCCCCCAGGTCTCCACGCACGTCCTTCATGGACGATACCAAACTTAATTTTTAGATTCGTAAACTTTTTTTTTTTTATGGTTTCTACTTCGACTTTTCACGTAGGTCTGAACTGAAATGCCAGCGTCACAGCGGTCATGACAAAAGCCATTAGAAATGTTATGGTCATGATGAACTGAAATGTCAGCGTCACAGCGGTCATGACAAAAGCCATTAGAAATGTTATGGTCATGATGAACTGAAATGTCAGCGTCACAGCGGTCATGACAAAAGCCATTAGAAATGTTATGGTCATGATGAACTGAAATGTCAGCGTCACAGCGGTCATGACAAAAGCCATTAGAAATGTTATGGTCATGATGAACTGAAATGTCAGCGTCACAGCGGTCATGACAAAAGCCATTAGAAATGTTATGGTCATGATGAACTGAAATGTCAGCGTCACAGCGGTCATGACAAAAGCCATTAGAAATGTTATGGTCATGATGAACTGAAATGTCAGCGTCACAGCGGTCATGACAAAAGCCATTAGAAATGTTATGGTCATGATGAACTGAAATGTCAGCGTCACAGCGGTCATGACAAAAGCCATTAGAAATGTTATGGTCATGATGAACTGAAATGTCAGCGTCACAGCGGTCATGACAAAAGCCATTAGAAATGTTATGGTCATGATGAACTGAAATGTCAGCGTCACAGCGGTCATGACAAAAGCCATTAGAAATGTTATGGTCATGATGAACTGAAATGTCAGCGTCACAGCGGTCATGACAAAAGCCATTAGAAATGTTATGGTCATGATGAACTGAAATGTCAGCGTCACAGCGGTCATGACAAAAGCCATTAGAAATGTTATGGTCATGATGAACTTCGATATTTGCATGTAAAAGTTTTTTTTACCCAAATCTTTTGCACGATGTACCCATTACTTTCTAGTCATGTCTGGTCACGTCCGGTCATGTCTGGTCACGTCCGGTCATGTCTGGTCACGTCCGGTCATGTCTGGTCACGTCCGGTCATGTCTGGTCACGTCCGGTCATGTCTGGTCATACCTAGTTGCGTCTTATAGCGTCTAGTGACGTCTGGTCATGACTGGTCACTTCTGGTAACTTCTGGTTAGTCTGTTCACGTCTGGTCACTTCTGGTCACGTCTGGTCACGTCTGGTCACTTTTGGTCACGTCTGGTCAGTCTGATCACGTCTGGTCACTTCTGGTCACGTCTGGTCACTTCTGGTCATTTATGGTCACGTCTGGTCACTTCTGGTCATGCTACGGACTTGAAATTCACAAAATGTCCAGCATACGCGCCTGCCATAAGACAAGCTCATCCCTCCTCCTTCGTCCCTCCTCCTTCATCCCTCCTCCCTCGTCCATTCTTCCTCATGTCTTCTCCAGTCTTACACATGTCTTCCAACCATTTTGATTCCCAATTAGTTCGCAAAGTCGACACTCTACTCCTGTACCCAGACGCAAAAGAAAAAAAAAACGTTAAAAATCAAACAATGTTGATTTCGTTATTTTGGATGATTTGGTTTAAAATTATTTTAATTGATTAATGGTCGATAACCCTCCATTTCATATGTTTCTTACAGAACGCAGTCATTAACATACATAGATCAGAAGTGTTTATTTTAACCACAACACTTTGTGCATTTTTTAAAAGTGTTCTTCAACCTTTGTAGACATTCACACAGTGTAATGTCCATTCTACACAATAAATTGGACCAGGGGGTGTTGTGGGTCTTTTCCCGGCTAACCAACGCTCCCACGGAAAGTAGCACTTTTCCCGGCTAACCAACGCTCCCACGGAAAGTAGCACTTTTCCCGGCTAACCAACGCTCCCACGGAAAGTAGCACTAAGGAAATGGGTGCAACGAAAAGAAAATAATCACTTCATAATAATTATTATTTACCTCATTCTAGCAGTTCTTAACCGTGTGTGTGTGAGAAAGATTGAGAGAGAGGGAGAGAGAGAGAGAGAGAGATAGAGAGAATGAGAGAGGAATAAAGAGAGAGAGAGAAAGAGAGTTTGTGGTGTGTTTTGTGCAAATTTTAGCATTTCAGTTTGGCCCGCGGTGCCCTTTCCTGAAGTAATAATAAAATTATATTCTTTTTTGGATACATTAAGTCCTTTTTTAAAAAAGTTTTCATGCCCACCTGTCCGAAGAATTAATATATATATATATATGATGTGGCCCTCTCTTGGGTTATTATTGTTAACGTGGAGTAACTCTGCTTTTATGCACCGTGGATCTACCATCCTAATTTAATCTAGTTACCTCTTCCCACTCATGCAGGAACCTTTGACATTGGTATCCCGTATGGCGTCACTCATGCAGGAACGTGTGACATTGGTTGCCCGTATGGTGTGAGACATGTATCTGGTCACAGTCTGAAGGATGAGATAACGGTGGCGGAAGATGTTGACTGTGAGAACCGCTCTGAACGCCTGATGTATTACGTCAATGATGGCATCTTCGGGTCATTCAACAACGTCTTTACTGACCACGCCGTCATAGTCCCTAACCTTGTGTTGGTAAGTGATAGATTACCAATATCCAAACTTGTGTTGGTATGTGATAGATTACCAATATCCAAACCTCGTGTTTGGTATGTGATAGATTACCAATATCCAAACCTTGAGTTGGAATGTGATAGATTACCAATATCCAAACTTTGTGTTGGTATGTGATAGATTACCAATGTCCAAACTTTGTGTTGGAATGTGATAGATTACCAATATCCAAACCTTGTGTTGGTATGTGATAGATTACCAATATCCAAACTTTGTGTTTGTAAGTGATAGATTACCAATATCCAAACTTTGTGTTGGTAAGTGATAGATTACCAATATCCAAACTTTGTGTTTGTAAGTGATAGATTACCAATATCCAAACTTTGTGTTGGTAAGTGATAGATTACCAATATCCAAACCTTGTGTTGGTAAGTGATAGATTACCAATATCCAAACTTTGTGTTGGTAAGTGATGGATTACCAATATCCAAACTTTGTGTTGGTATGTGATAGATTACCAATATCCAAACTTTGTGTTGGTAAGTGATAGATTACCAATATCCAAACTTTGTGTTGGTAAGTGATAGATTACCAATATCCAAACTTTGTGTTGGTAAGTGATAGATTACCAATGTCCAAACTTTGTGTTGGTATGTGATAGATTACCAATGTCCAAACTTTGTGTTGGTAAGTGATAGATTACCAATATCCAAACTTTGTGTTGGTAAGTGATAGATTACCAATATCCAAACTTTGTGTTGGTAAGTGATAGATTACCAATGTCCAAACTTTGTGTTGGTATGTGATAGATTACCAATGTCCAAACTTTGTGTTGGTAAGTGATAGATTACCAATGTCCAAACTTTGTGTTGGAATGTGATAGATTACCAATGTCCAAACCTTGTGTTTACAATATCACCTGCAAGTTTGGTTTATTGTTCACTAAGTTCGAAGCCAAAAAAAACACGAAAAGTGTCAGAGGGGTCCCCAAAAGTCATGCCGCGCCACTGACACCGACCCTGTGACTCTGGCTCTTCTAGGACCCCAAGGATTGCGGCAAGACCAGTGGCGGATCGTGTCACTCTGACCGGAAGTACAAGTCTATCATCTGGGGCCCCACATGTGACGGACTGGACTGCGTCATGAAAGATTGCTGGCTGCCCGAGCTGGCCGTTGGTCAGTGGCTATACTTCCATGACATGGGAGCTTACACCATAACGTTGTCCTGCGACTTCAACGGCGTCCCGAGGCCCCTGAGATTCTATGTCTGTGATGTTTTCAGCTGGTGAGTCAAATCAGTGGCGGAAACGGGGGAAGGGGCACAGAGAAATCGATGTAGCTGTTATCGAAAACTGGGGGAGACCAATGGGGTCACCGGTTGGCGTTTTAAGTTGTTATACCAATTTATTTGGGGTGGGGGAGATGGGGGCAGTGTTTTTGGGTTTTTTTTTAAGAAATTCGATAATTTTTCATTGGATTTCAGTTGACATCATTGATATTTCAACTTGATGATAAATGAAGGACTGCGTCAAACCTGTGTGAAGTAAATAGTAGAACAAGGTCATTGGAAGCCTGAACTAGAAAGGCAGGACCTTAAGATAAGAACATTTCGGCTAAGAGCCTTCCTCGGCAGACATTTGTCCTGTCTTTTGATTCAAGCTTCCACATACCTTGTTCTACTATTTAGTTCTACTTGAGTGTGCTGCCTATAGCGATGGGCTGTGCCAGGCAGTCATGGGGATGTTTCAAAGGTTCAATGAAATAATGCTTAGCAGACTGTGCGGTTCATTTTTTTTTTAACTTTTTTATTTTGGGGATGGGGCAGTGTGCTTAACTTTCATCAATGCTATTTTTATATTCAACAAATTTCTGTCATTATATAACACAGTGATTTGTGTGGGGGGGGGGTACGTTTGGCTGAGTCAGAACAATAGTAAAACTGTCATTTTGAAAATGTAACAATGATTTATGGTAATATAATAAGAGAATGCGTTTGTTGTATTTTAAAGGCGCAGTGTCTACCCCAAAGGGTGTCATGAGACGTACATGGATGACCCGCCTTTGCTGGAACGAGCGCGTGTCTGGCATGTTGAGTCCCCTATGAAAATCGTTTCCTGTCTTTTCCAAGACCCATTGCTCACCGACGAGAAGAGAAAAGATGGCGTACCGAGTAGTTCCGGCTGCTCAACCCAACGCTGCTACTAACCAGAAGAGACAAGATGGCGTACCGAGCAGTTCCGGCTACTCAACCTTACGCTGCTACTAACCAGAAGAGACCAGATGGTGTACCGAGTAGTTCCGGCTACAAAACGACCCAGCTACAGACTTACGCTTTCAAGGGCAATAGTTTCCTCGCCAACTCTGAACCTCTTTTCATCGCAGCAATGTACAAGGAAAACCCCTACACATTTACCTTGGAATTCTCTTCTCCAACATCCTAAAATGGTCCCCCCCCCCCATATCAACAAAATTTCAACAAAGCCAACTCCACCCTAGGTTTCATCCGAAGAAATCTGCCCCATAGCCCAACATCCTGCAAACGAAATGCCTATCTCGCACTCGTCCGTCCGCTACTAGAATATGGTGTGATCATCAGGGACCCACACCTTAAGCAAGACGTGGACACGATGGAGCGAATTCAACGTAACGCGGTGCGCTTCATCGCACGTGAATACAAATCCACCACTCCTGGCTTTGTCACTGGCCTCTTAAAAAGATTTGACATCGCCTCCTTTCAAGACATACGAGAGGGGCTCTGCTTGATATTCTTATGTAAAGTGGTCATGGGACTGGTGCCGGCCATCCCAGCAGGCACGTACCTCACACCACGGAAACCGGGTCGATTGAGGAGGATCAAACGCTCACTGAACACTGACTTCACCACGACAACCCCCATAAACAATTACACCCAAAAAAACAGCAAATGCTTCATCGTGCAACACAGTGCAGTATATAGACCAACTGAAGGTGATTTTCTGATTTCGGCCGAAACCGAAAATAGGCCGAAAGTCAAAAAATTACTTTCGGCCGAAACCGAAACCGAAAGATTTAAGAGAATTTCGGCCGAAACCGAAGCCTAAAATGAAATATTTTGATATTTTGAAATTCGTTCACGCATACATTCTCATAAATCAAATATGATTTGGGGGGGGGGGGGGAATAGTCAAAATTTTTATTTTTTTTTTAAAAATGAGAATATAGCGAATATTAATAAATAAACATCTAATATAGGGGTCTCAAACTCGCAGCCGGCGGGCCATTTGTGACCCGCAAGACGATATTTTGTTGCCCGTTACATGACAGCAAAGTTTAGTGTTAATGCAGCCGGCGCGTTTCCCCCATTCTCATATCTATAACGTGACTCTCCGCGACGGTTTCAGGCGAATCTCACCGACTAGTCTAATTTTATTTTTATTGTGTTTCTATATATTTGCAGAGGATTATAATGGTAAGAACCGTTTTAAAATCGGACTTAAGTTTTTATTTTATAGCTTTGTATGAGACAAACATGGAAAGAGTTGGGCTTTGAGAAAAGTTTTAAAAAGTAATTTGGCGGGTAATGCACAACCATAATTGTGTAAATCGTAGCAATCTGATACAGTATCAAAGGATCCATATTAAAATTGCCGCTAGTGTTTACGAGTGAGGGAATATCCGACCATGTCAGCTTTGTCACTTTCAAAATCTTCTTCTTATGCCTTTTTACCCAGTCTTTAGCATAGGCCATCCACAAGAATTCTCCATTCATCACGGTACTGTGCTTTCCTTTCCAGTTGTTTCCAGGTGTATCCCATGTTTTGCGTGTCTGCCTCTAGCTCGCGTCTCCATGTATTATTTGGCCTTCCTCTCTTTCTTTTTCCTTGTATATTGCATGTTAGGAATTGTCTGGTGGGGCTATCTGGGGGTTTTCGGAGAGTATGTTCTATTCATCTCCATCTTTTCTTTAAGATATCTTCATCGATGGGCACCTGGTGAGTCATTACTAGTAGATCTTTTTTTGGTGATAATATGTGGCCATTTGATGTTCAGGATCTTTCTGAGGCATGTGTTAAAGAAGGTCTGTACTTTCTGCATAATGCTCGCCGTTGTTTGCCAATCTTCTGCGCCATACAGTAGGAATGCCTTTCAAAATAGGGTTAGTCAAAAAGGACTTTACTACGATAAAAAGTAAAAATTCATTCTACCTACTATAGCTGCTTCCTTTGAATCAATAAATTATAAATATGGTTTGCTTCCGCCTACTGCTTGAAACGTTTTAGCATTTAAGGCCTTCGTGGAAAAGGATGGGTTGGTTGTTCCTGTACTAAATGGCTCATGGACTTGGTTTTCTTGTTGATATTACATAGGTACTGAATGTACTCAACAAAAAGTTACAAGACGAGGGGTAGCTTGTCAGTGTTGCCTATGACAATGTCAAGACATTCTGCACAAAATTTGTGTTATGGTTCTTGTAGAAACTTCTGCCATTTCCCAACATGCAAAGTACTCATGGACTCGGGCACACCATTCAGTGGTAACTTAGAAGTGAGTATACTGATGCCATTGCAAAGCTACAGAAAGAATTTGATCACATTTTTTAGACATCAAAACACAGTCAGCCACTTTTCAGCTTTTTGTTGACCCTTCTCCTTTAATGTGCAAGATGCCCCGCGCAGGTAGCTGAATGGAAAAGAGACAAGCATGGACATTTTATTGCATTGCCCTCCACCTTCCCTGTGATTTCCAGGTTGTTCAAGCGGATCATACGACTTTTTTGGAGTTTCTATCCGTGTGAAAAGCTCTTTTCCACTATGCATTTTAACAAGTCAAATTTCAGGGCCAAACTTACTGATGAGGATCTTCAAGCTATACTGAGGGTCTCAGTTGTTTCCTCACTCAAGCCAAATTTTCGCAGTTGTGTAAAAAGAAACGCTGCCAGATCTCTGGCAACAGTGAGTTGGTGGAAGAAAAAGAACCCTAGTTCTTGAGAACCCTTAATGTTTTTATTAGTTATTTATAAAGAT